GGCCCCATTTCTCTCACTCTTGGGCATGGCAGTCACGCCCCCTCACTCTTGGGCAGCAGCTATGGCTCCATCCCACTGGCTCACATGAATGAGCAGCCCCACACTCCAGAATCAAGTTGGTGAAGGTCTAACTCCTTGAAACCTAGGGGGCTGTGATCGTTCCACTCCCAAAGGCCATGGTCCTACCCTTTCAGGCTGAGGTAGCTCTGCTTCCATTTCCTTGGTCTCTACTTCTGCCAATTAATGCCTGAGGGCAACCCACTCCGTCAGGAATCTTCTTGCCCAAAGGACATTTAGCTTTCTTGCTTCGTGGGCTGGCCAACCTGCTACTGCGTTTCAAGCCAGTCTTTTCTACCAGTTAATGCCTGAAGGCAACCCACTCCATCAGGAAGCTGCCTACCCAAAGGCATCAAGCTTTCTCCTCTGTGGGCTGGTAAGGCTGTCACTGTCTCATGCCGGTTCTCTCTGCTCTGCTCCTGCCATCTCTCATGCCGGTCTCTTGCTCTGCTCCTGCCATCTATCATGCCATATGCCGGGGTCTCTCTGCCAGGGTCTCAGGTCAAGGACTCACTCCACTTCCGTTTCCACATTTTAGGCATCTGTCAAAGCAGCACCCCATTCTCTCGGTACCGTATTCTGTTCTGGTTACCTAGTGCCGCTCTGATGGGAATACACCACAAATGGGATGGCCTTAACAAGCAGGAGTGTATTTTACAATTTGGAGGCTAGAAGTCCAAGTTCAAAGTGCCAGGCTCTAGGGCTTGGGTGAAAGCCCCTCAACCTTAGGGTCCAGCTCTGCCTCCTGCTCCCAGCCCACTGGAGCTAGAGGCATTTCTTCACTCAGATAGCAGCTAGCTGCTGAGGCTGAGAAGCCCCAAGGTTGACAAGTAAAAAGGCATGGACCCAATGTTACCAAACCACACAGCAAGCCATTAATTTAAGTCCTTTGTAAGTCCTGAGGTCGGCAGAGCATGGCAGGCTGCTGAACACTGACATGGCTACATGCAGGGCCCAAGTGTGCCATAAGCTAGAGACCATTCTCAAAGCTTCTCCTCATATACAGGAAGCAGACCACATCCCAAAGGCAGCTACTTGGCTGCTTGTGGTAGATCCCACCATGGAGTTGACTGCCAGTCTCATCATGGGGAATAACTACCACCAGCTGCCCAGCCATTCAACCAGGCCCAGTCAAGTTGACACACAAACATAACTGCCACAGGTGTATAGATATTATCTTGAAGATAATGGAAAATTATTGGTATTTTTAAGTAGGGGAGTAAAATGTCCAGATTCTAGTGGAAGAATGGAGACTGTAAGTCTCCTTAGAAAGCTACTATAATATTTTAATAAGATATGAAAAGATCCTGACTTAAGGCAGTGATAGTTGATGAACTTGAGAAATACTTACATGAGGTATCTATGTGGGACTGGATCGTTTTAATTCAAACGTAAGTATGAAAACTCCACAGATTCTCAAAAGAGAATTCAAGGTAAAGAAAATGATGACTCCAAGTGTCTAGTTTGAGCAACTAGATAAATAGTAATGCTGTTAACTGAGAATAGAGCATTCAAGAGTATCAGCAGGTTTTTGATTATCTAATTTGGGTCTTCAATAACGTAGTGAAACTGTTGTCTAAGAACCAATTTATGTCCGTCATATTGACTCTTTGATTCAGTCATTGAGTTCCCTACTTGGCTATGTTATAGGCATCTTAAAACTCAATATGTCCAAACTTTTAATTATTTCTCCTCAAACTTGCTCATCTTGTAGTCTTCCTTATCTTAGTAAATGACATATCCATTTTTTCAGTGACTTAGGCTAAAAACTTTGGATTCATCTTTGACTCCTCTCTCTTTCACATCCCACAGCCATTCCTAATGCTATTGGCTCTACCTTCAAAATATATACTACTTGTCATCACATCCATTGCTGTTTACTATTGCAAGCCACCATCATCTTTGCTTACCCTACCATGGTCCAGTCTATGTATGTTGTTGTTACTTGCTGTCAAGTCAATTCCAACTTATCGTGACTCCATGTGAGCAGAATAGATAGGGTTTTCAAGACTGTGAACTTTTGGAAGCATATCACCAGGCCTGTCTTCTTAGGTGGGTTTGGACTGCCAGTCTTTCAATTAGTAGTCCAGTGCTTAACCATTTGCACCACCCAGGGACTCCATCCTTTATACAGACTTTTAAAATTGTCATTCTTGAAAACTCTCCAGTGACTTTTCTCATTGAGTAAAGCTACCAAGCAGTTGCTGTCAAGTCAATTGCAACTCACTGTGACCCCTTATTTGTCAGATTAGACTGTGTTTCACAGCGTTTTCAGTGACCAATTTTCTGGAAGTAGATCACCAGGCCTTTCTTACAAGGTGAGTCTGGGTGGACTCAGACCTCCGACTTTTCAGTTAGCAGCTGAACCTGTAAACCATTTATATCACCCAAGGACTTCCTAAGTAAAACTAACCAACAACCTAACCAACACACTGCCATCGAGTCGGATCTGACTCGTAGTGATCCCTCTTTGGGTTTCTGAGGCAGTATCACTACAGAAGTAGATTGCCCAACCTTCCTTCCGAGGAGCAGCTGGTGCGTTTGAACCACCAGCCTTCTGGTTAGCAGTCAGATGGCTTAGGCATTGTGTCACCAGAGCTCCTGATTAAAGCTAAAGCCCTTATAATGGCCTACAAGGTTGTACATAATTTGGCTTCCCAACTTTTACTATATCCTCACCATTTTAGACCTCATTGCTTACCCTTTTCCTCCTTTTTTTTTTCTCCACTACAGTGACAGTAGCCTCCTTATTCTTTCTCAGACTCACCAAGTGTCCTATTGCCTCAGAGCATTTGTATTTGGGTTCTTACCTTCTAAATTTGCATTGTTGTTGTTATGTGCCGTTGAGTTGGCCCCGACTCATAGCGACCCCTCCTTGGGTTTCCGAGGCAGTATCACTATGGAAGTAGGATTGCCCAACCTTCCTTCCGAGGAGTGGCTGGTGGGTTTGAACCGCCAGCCGTCTTGTTAGCAGGCAAGTGTCTTAGCCACTATGCTAAATTTCCATAGGGCAAGCTTAATCATTTTCTTCAGGTCTCTTCACTGACCATCTTATGTGTAAAATAGCACTCTCTCCCTGTCTTTTTACTCTCTGTACTTCTTATATTGCTATGTAATTTCTTTTACTGAATTAATATGTTTTACTTTATTATTTGTATAAACAGTATAAATTGAAGATTGTGGGTTGATGGTAAGGGAATGTCAGTTGCTCGATACATGTAAAGATAAACGACCTGGACTGTCAGTAGGGTAGACATAGTTGAGGATATTCCTTTCCATGCAGAAAAATTCCCTGGACATTTATGAAACTGTCCATTCCAACTGGCAGATGGACTGTGGGTCCATACTTCCTGTCTCTTCACCCCAAAAGGGTTGGCTTTCTACCATACCATCAAAGACCCATGGCCCTCAGGATACAGTTCCCAGTCCTATTGAGAGTCCTCTGAGTGACACAGGACCAGCCATGTTCATCACCGGGGCCAGCCCAGCTTCTAGTCCCTCCAGCAGTGTCTGCACTGGGCATTGCAGCACTTGTGGAAGGTGGTCATTGGCTCATCAGCAGAGTGTCTGAAGCTGCATGAAGTAGACATGAGGATGTTCACATTTTGGGGCATGGCTCTGCCGTGGAGTTGACATTCTGTCAGGCAGCTACTGCCCCTCCAAGGCACATCATCTACTTCTTTAAGCTTGGGAAACTTCTGATTTGTTACCACTTAGCTGGGTTGAGCAGACACTCCCAACCCAAGCAGAGAGAGCTTTCAGAAAAGGTGACACTTGGCTTCTTTCCTGATTTTTATTACATCCCTGAAACTTGAGGTTACATCTGGTTTCATTCTTCCCATAGTTTTGGACTGTAAAGGAGTGTATGCAAACACCAAGAATGAGGCAGCACCAACAAACTACTTCTTTTGGTTAGCAGCTGAGCACTTAACCACTGTGCCACCAACGCTCCTTATAGGTAATGTGGTGCACACAGGGGCAGGTCTTGCAGGCAAAGCAGTGGCAGTGCTGCCCTGTCTGTCTACATGATCAGCCCATTCTGCAGCCTGGGCAGAAGAGCAGCGTGTCTTCCAATTGCCAGCACCCTCCCTGCTATATAGTTTTTTGTATTACTAATCACCCTCTGGCATATTAGAATGTAAGTTCCCATGAAACAAAATAGTATATAAGCTCCCATTTATTGTACCCTTATCACATAGCAAAATGCTTGGTTCATAGAAGGTGCTAAATAAATATTTAGTGAATTAATAATGAATAATGTCTCTTGGTCCATTAAAAGTTTTATAAAAAATAAACTTTAAAATTTACCATTTAGTAAATATTTTGATGTGCTAACATCTCCTAGCTTTCTAGAGTTACCTATCAATGAAAGTTACTTTATTTATATTTTGACCAGATATATTTTTGTTTTTAATTATTGAAAGTTTCAGTCATTCAATTACTCATTGTACTCATTGAGCATCTTTTGTGAGGACAGCCCTGTACTCTGCAATAGCATGAAGAATAAAGAATAAATAAGGGATGTGGGTCTAGCATTTTAGAGACCTCTAAAATTAATATTCATGACTTTTGAACATAAAAATATAAAATATATTTGAGATGTGAATTTTCATTGCCAAAAGCTGAGATAAGGCATTTAAACTTTACAAATGTATATAGAAAAATATATATAATAAAGAAAAATTATAAATTTATAAAGAAAAATTCCTATATTATAAATATTGACAAGTATGTCATTATGATTTTTATGTATAGTTAAACATTATGACAAGTTGTATAATAAACATACCCTTTTTGGAATAGTAAAATGACAGTTAATAATATTGTATTCTTAAATACTTTAATTGGGGTCATTGTTTTCTAAAATTGTACCCTTTCATAATAAGAAAATTTATGCTTTATTTAATTGGAACTCAGTTCAGTTCTCTTTTTTATTCCCACAGGTAGCCTTGGATATGTTAAATCCTCAAGTTGCTTTACCCATTTTATATCCAAATCTTAAGCAGGGTGGTATATGTGCTGTGTATCTAGCAAAGTGAGTAACATTGTTTTTCTTTGATATGATTTTTAAACACATTTATTTCATCTAAGGGCCAGATTAAAATTTTAATTTTGTAACTGAGTAGAATGTATATGTTCTAGTAAAACTGTTATAACATGACACATGTCCCAAATTCAGTTATCCCAATGCATTGTCATTGAGTTGATTCTCATACTGACCCTATAAGAAAGAGTAGAACTGCCTCATAGGATTTCCAAGGCTGTAAATCTTTACAGAAACAGAGTGCCTCATCTTTTTCCCACAGAGCCTTTTGGCTAGCATCTGAGTACTTAACCACTGCACCATCAGTACTCCTTAATTTAGTTGTAGTGTTGTTTAAACCATCCTTTACATAACTAATAAGATGCATATTTCTTCTTACAATTTGGAAAAAAGACTTTAAAAGTGTAATGTGAACACTAATGTTAAATGATGGCCTCTCTGTTTTACATAGTATTCTGTGAGACTGCTTATGTGCTTTAACTTTCATTTTCAGTTTTCCCACCCTTGATTTAATTATAGCATTTCAATTTGGGTAAGAGATATAATGAAGTTAAAATTAAGAAAGTTATTAGAAGAATTTGAAGTATTTTTCCCTTTTCTGAAAGCATCACACAGGTTATCGAACTTTTAGATGGAATTCACACCTGTGAACTTGCTCTCTCATGTGAGAAGATAAGCGAAGTCATTGTCAGAGATTGGTTGGTTTGCCTTGCAAAACAGAAAAATGGAATTTTATCTCCAAAAGTAGAACCTAAAATCAACACAGACTTACGAGTACATTCTCAAAAGAAAACTGGAGTTGAAAGTGAGCTGTTTCAAGAGGATGACCATGGTGAACTTCAAGTTTATGTTATGCATGTCTTTGCAGTAAAAATTGGAGGATGGGTGTTTAGACCAATACATTTTAAGAATATTCCCTACTTTAATTTTCCTGCAGAAATTGAAATGTAGTATTTCTTCTGTTAAATTAAAGTCTGTTAGGGACAAAATAATCATTTTCCCTGCCTTTTATATAAACTCTGATACCTTTAAAGAATCGAGCTTCTTATAATATTCATATTTTACTTGTCTCTCAGGAGGGGCTTAGATGTCAAACACTTTAAACATTCTAAGGAATGTTTTAATTTAGATCAGTGATTATTACTAAGGGAATGAATGTAATAAGTTCTAATATGAAAATAGCTAATACTTCACAAAGCAACTTCTAAGATACTGCTGGAATTTTTCAAATAACTAAATTTAGGACCTTCTTATATGTATACTTTAGGCCATGAATAAGTTTTCAAATATCCATTAATTTATGACCCATACTTATCCTTTTGATTATATCTGTATAATTTTATCATGTAACATGAACAAATTATTTATGTAAGATAACTAGCAAGGTAGCTCCAAAACAAATGCTGGAAAAAATATGGGAGAAAAAACTTACATCAGAGGCAGTAATTTGTATTTCAACAGTTTTTGTGAACAAATGATAAAAAACTTATGTAGCTTATAATAATATATTTTGTTTTACACCAGAAGAATCACATTCTGATTTTGTATATGGATCATTTCCCTATATTGCTAGACCTATACACTGGCAAGCTGGTCATACAGGTAAGTAATGTTCTCAGACATTATTAAATGGTATTTCTTTTTTAATTATTGTAATAACCTTACTTTTTCCCTTCTTAAATTAGCTTTTCTTGTCAAGTTGAGGAAGTTCAAACCACAAGTTAACTGAGTACTCCAGATGACAGCAACTGAATTGAAGACTGGAAAGTACCAAAATAGAACTTCATATTACAAATCTACTTTCCTAGATTGGTATTTTTAGCTCTTACTATCATTTGTATAATTTTTACATATAATTTTGAAAAATAACCAAAGCTAAAGAAAGGTGTGTGACATAGCGAAACTGCTTAAATGCCCCATTTTGACACTCGTCTTGCTGTTAGTTTGACATTTTGCAGTTAATGATTCCAAGTTTAGTTGCTCCATCTCATTCTTCACTTCCTGTAAACCACGCCATAGATTTGTCTTTCTCCGTCAAATTAGTTTTCTTTTCTTTGTTTGATTGATGATCATTGGCTACTGAAAATAAAATATGCATTTTAAGATAAATATTATGTATCTGTGCATTTTAAATACATATTTTAATGGCATGTATGTACGTTAAAAAAGTAATAAAGAAATCTAGGTTGTAGTAAAAAGGGAAATTTTAAAAAGAATGCTGTTATCACCTTAAAAGTTGTAACAAGAGATGTGAAAATTCTTGAATCTTTTAGCCCTCTCAAAATCTTTTTAACTAGCTTGAAAGAACATCAGAATTGTTTAATGTTGTTATATAAATCAAATATTTGGGGAAGTATACTTTATAACAGAATTAACTAAGAATAGGGTTTATTATTATTCATAGGCACTAGCATTTACTGTCAAGTCATACATTGTTTTAAGAACTTTATATCCACTATTTCATTTAATATATACAACTTCTTATAAATAAGCGAACAGGCTTAGAGTGGTTAAGTTGGTGCTTAAATACAAATGTGTTATAGGTTTCAAAGTAGTAGGGTCTGGTATGCTGCAATTCCTAGATTTATTCCTTAGGCCAGAATTATTTAAAATATGTATTCTAAAAAAGTTTACCTATTTCTTAGCATGTGGAAAATTTACAACTAAAACTTCTGCCTCTATAGACTTTACTGTCTGTGGTAGAGCTAGGCATTAAATAATAGCACAAATACAAGACTAAAAGTGTTATAAATCTTCAAAAGAAGTACAGGGTACTATGAATGGCTATAATAGGGATTTTGCTCTAGTCAGGTTACCCAAGCAAGTGACAGTTGAACTGAGATCTGAGTTAACAACAGAGAGAATTAAGGGGAAAAGGCCAGGGAAGCCTGGTCGAGTGAGAGATGGATTGTAGAAATGAGGCTGCAAAGATAAGTAGGGGGCAGACCATGCAGGATCTTGTAGGCCTGGTAAGAAGTTGGCCTATCCTAAGGAAAATGGGGTACCACTGAAGGATTTAATTAAGTCAAAGTAGCATATTTGGATTTGTGTTAAAAATTACTCTGGCTGCAGATGGAGAACTGATAGAATTGGAGCAGAGTATTCTTCTGGTATCTTATTTCTATATGATAACTATCTGAACATTCATGTAATAGTAATGCATTTATAATTTTTATAACATTTTTAGATATATAGAAACTGATAAGTACCATTTTAAAATTCTATCAAGAAATACTCTTTTCTGCTCTTCTGTTTAACTAGTAGCAAAATTCTGTCATTCATTCATTCGTTTGAATACCTGTTATATGCCAGATCCTAATGGTACTCCTTGCAGAAGGCTGGCTTTAGAGCAAAGTCCAGCTTGAGCCCTCCTCTGAACACTAAGTACCCTTTATAGTCTGGCTTATGGGGCAGATGCCTTCTTCCAATGTTAGCTTTTATGTCTGTGTCTGGCTTTCATCACCATATAGTGAACTCATATTGCCAGTACTTCCCACAGGCCCCATTTTTCCATGCAGGAAATGGTCCACATGTTTGCTGATGGCTTTAAGCCTACACTGGATCACATATTGGTCTATTAGCTTCTCTGAAAAACCTTCAAATTCCCACCCCACAGAAATAATTCTGCAATCCTTTGTGCCCCTAGATGTTTGTGGTAGTTATGTTTGTGTGTCAACTTGGCTGGGCCTGGTTGAGTGGCTGGGCAGCTGGTGGTAGTTATTCCCCATGATGAGACTGGCCATCA